GAAATTAGGCTGTTCAATAAAGGCACCAGCAGCACTTTTCGCAGAGATGGCCGGGAATTCATTATCGACGTCATTTTACCGCGGACTGCAGTCCGTCGCTGGTGGACAACATGAATTGAGTGTGTGAAGGATATACCCATAGTGACCATCAGGCAATCCGATATGGCATCGGCCAACGGAATCCTGTGGCAGTACAGAGGACGAGAACTTGCGACCTGAAGTGGAAGTGGATTCTGGCATCTCAGAATCGTTAGGGAGAGCATGTGTGACGACCATGCCGAGAAAATTGGAGCTAAATAGCAGACGGCCTCCAGCTTACTGCTTCAACGAGGCAATTAGCACCCTCCGCGCTAGTTGTCTCAGAGCCAGAAGTCGTGTTCAGAGAGCAAGAACAGGAGAGCAAAAGTGGATGCAATTCGGACAGTTGTCGAGAAAGCCGAGAAGGCGTCGAAACAGAAGTGGAGAGGAGATCGATATTATCAACAATCAATACGAAACTAACGATTTTAAATTGGCTCACTACTTGACTAGCCTATTGGTCCCAAGCAAACGATTAACGTATCCCATTCTAGTCAAAATTCTAGTACTACGCAATGTTTGTTTTGATTCGCTATGAAAGTTTGACAGATAAAATGAGGGGTTATTGGTTTTTCCTATGTTTCGAGGGGTGAATCGATTAGCTTGGGACCGAAGAGAGTACCAGAGCTGAGCCAAAAAGTTGAGCACGTTATTTCGGGACCTTCTAGTCTTAGAGTTACCTCTATGATATTATCATAGAGGTAACTCTAAGACCACTGGGTCCCGAAGAAAATCATTATTATTTTTGGCTCACTCAGTACCAGAACAACGGTCCCAAGCAGTCCCAAGCTATTTCACTCACCCCTGCATGTTGTGCATGAATCCACACACCCCTGATGTTATCTGTCAAACTTTCATAGCGAATCAAAACAAACATAGTGTAGTAATAGAATTTCAACTAGAATAGGGTACGTTAATCGTTTGCTTGGGACCAATAGGCTACTAAAGTGGTGAGTCAATTTAAAATCGTTAGTTTCGTATTGATTGTTGATATTATGCCGTGATAACGATCGACGTCAAGAATGCGTTCAGCAGCTCCAGCTGGGCGGCCGACGCTACTTCCAGAACCGGGTTCTGATCTACGAGCCAAATATGGGACAGAGATCGATTAGGATCACGGTGGGAATTCCACAAGGCTCCATACTTGGTCCAACGCTCTGGAACGTGATTTAAAACGGCGGTCTAACCAACCGGTGGAAACTAACGATTTCAAATTGGCTCACTACTTGTCTAGCCTATTGGTCCCAAGCAAATCGATTAACGAACCCCATTGTAGTCAAAATTCTAGTACTACACTATGTTTGTTTTGATTCGCTACGACAGTTTGACAGATGAAGTGAGGGTTTCGTGGATTTTACTATGCTTCGAGGGGTGCATCGATTAGCGTGGGACCGAAGAGAGTACCAGAGCTGAGCCAAAAAGTTGAGCACGTTTCTTCGAGACCTTTTAGTCTTAGAGTTACCTCTATGGTCTAACCGATGCTAACCGATGCACCCCTCGAAACATAGCAAAATCCACGAACCCCTCATTTTATCTGTCAAACTTTCATAGCGAATTAAACATAGTGTAGTACTAGAATGTCGACTAGAATGGGGTACGTTAATCGATTTGCTTGGGACTTGTTACTGTTGAGATTATTTAACCTAGATTTTGTAACATATTAATTAAATGTTTGTTTGTTAGTAGGTTAGTAAAGGAAATAATTATAAATGTTAGTAAATGTTAATGCTAAAAATTGATAAATACTCCGGGGTAGCTTATAATAAGGACATAATTTGTTAACACACTTCACACCACAACACACACTACACAACAGTATGAAGTGAGCCAAAAAGGGAAAACAAGAGTTGCCACAGATACCGGGACTGGACACGTCAAAAAGGGAACATGAACAAAGGGTATGGAAAAAGGAGGGTCAAGCTACCGGTTAATAACTTGATAAGCGTCTTTCTTATCCAGAGCTTCGAAGCGTTAAGTTTGCTATCCTCCATAAAAATAAATCAGAGATAAAGAAGTTTATTTGAAATCACCGTTACCAAACTTGATTTGGAAGTGAAATAAGAATCAGGTATGGAGTAAAAGGACATAGTACAAAACAGAATAAAGTTAAAAAAAAAATACCCGGTGGCCCTCCTAATACCCACCCTGGGACGTTCTTTCCTTAGGACCCATTATTAACCGCCTGAATTGTCCAGCAAGTTATCCGCCATTCCGGCGTGCGATTGGACTTCCAGCGCCGACGTCTGAAGGAGTGTGATCCGCCAATCCGGCGTACGATCCGTCCCTCTTGGATTCGGCGTAGGCATTACCCCGAGCGTCAAGGCAAAGGCGACATTCCCGCATTTCATGCTTGCATCCGGCCGCATCGTGAGACACTACCCACATACACACACACACAGTAAGTCGAAATAAAAAGCTAATTAACAAGAGAGAAAGTGCTTTCAATTCCTTGATCGAACAATCCTACCTACAGCCGACCCTGAAGGTTCCTCTTTCATGCTCGAGCTAAAGCCAGTAAAAAAAGAGGTTGTTGTAGAACCCACCCTCAGTGATCCCCGTTGGCTAGACCAGGGATCGAGGGCTTAGCGAAGTGGTCCGTCTGACCGCTTTTAACAGACCAATAGGCTAGTCAAGTAGTGAGCCAATTAAAAATCGCTAGTTTCCACCGGTTGGTCTAACGCTGAAGCTACCCAAACGAGTTGAGATCGTTGGCTTTGCGGACGACGTCGTCTTACGGTAACAGGCAAGCCGCTGAAATAGATGGAAATGTTGGCGACCGAGCCGGTCGACATGATTGGAAGTCTAATGCATGGAGCGAAGCTGCAGATAGCCCACAACAAAAGCGAGATGGTATTGATCAGTAACTTTAAAGCGGTGCAGCGGTCAGAAATTACCGTTGGGTGTTGAAATGCCTAGGAGTGATGGTCGACGTTTGGCTTCAATAGCCTATGAGAAGACAGCGAAGGCCATCAACGCGGTAGCCAGAATCATACCGAACACCTCGGGACGGCTCCTGTCTATTGTCTTTACGTTGATATTGAGATATGGAGATTCAGCCTTGGTTGCAGCGCTGAAAACCAAGCGGAATTTAAGGAAACCGAACAGTACGTACCGGCTCAACAAACCGTGCGCAAACTTTTCCAGACATTTGGTGTACCCTTTGTTGTAAGAATAGTAAACATTGATCAGTAATTCCATTATAGGTTAAACTTGATTTAAAAATCATGTTGCTGGTTAAAATATTGAAAAAGAAAATTTCCCGATTGTGTCAGCCTAAAATTTCAAATGGGGGTGACAAACTCAGAGAACTCAAAAAAACGAGAATTTCAAGAACTTTGTAGAAATTCCGAGAACTTCAGGGAAGACCAGAGAACCTTGGGACAGTGCCAGCAATTTCAGGGGAATTTAAAAAAAATTGAAAGAAGTTTCGAGAACTTCATGGGAATTTTTAAGACTTCAGGACGTTCCTAAAATTCCAGAAAAATTTCGGGAACTTTGAAGATGATACGTAATTGTTAAGGAAATTTAGGGAAGTCCAAAGAAGTTCAGGGAAATTTGAGCAACAGAGATTTTTAGATTTTTTCGAAAATTTCGGAAGAACTTCAAGGCAGCTCCATTAACTTCAGAAAAAATGTGTCGGTTTTAAGAAGTTCTAAGGACTTCCAGTGAACTTCAAGTAAGGATGTCCAGAGGATGTAAGGGAATCTTTCACAAGAATTTCACAAATATTTACAGAGTTTTAGGGCAGTTACGTGAACTTCAGCACAGTCACTCAGCAATAGTCACTTTAACACTCTTGGGTCATGCGTGACTTATCTGGGGATGAGGTATGACTGTTAACCACTACGTCGTGGCCATCCCCCTTTTCAAACAGGTTTTGCTGTGTACAGTCTTCAAATGCAATCCTACTTTACTGATTTTTTGGATGTTAAACGATTTTTCTTTCCGAGTAGATCAATTAATACTATTGAGAAAAAAAAAACCATGATACTATGGTATTACGTTATTTTTTTTGTTCAACGATTCTCGTGCCCGATATGGTCCGGTCATATTTCTTCGCCATCGTTATCCATGTTGAAACCATCCGAAAAAAAAACATGCAGCAATAACCATCAGCAATTTGCTACCTATCCCCATATCTATAGGCAAGCGAGCGAGCGACACTTGCCAGCATGAAAACCTTCATTTTATGGCCCCATCAAGTCTCCATAACGGGGAGCGAAAGTCGTAGCAATAAATTCATTCTCCCTCAAACCCCCCCGAGTGTAGGTTTTATGCTCCGATATCATGCTGCTGGGCTACCAATTTTGGTAACCCTCCCTACGCTTTTCCATTTTTTTGTTCTTCTCTCGGTTGCTAGTGTGCGAGTGCTGAAGTTGTGCTTCACTCACACTCAACCAACGCCGTATAGGCCACGCCCCTCTCACATTTGTTTCTTTTCGTTTGTTTGTGTACTTGGCGCGCACGCTGGTTTGAGCAGCAGCGCCGCTATGCGGCGAACACCCACATCACATATCCCGCGCGCCTTTTCGTTGTGTTGGTTCGCTCAGCACGTGGTGCAGTGCGTAGAGTGTGCTCTGTATGTTGTTGTTATTGTTGTTGATGGTGTAGTGTGCAAAAACGAGCATAAGGACCGCAAGTGGGTGGACGACGGTGGTGGGTAATGGGAATGCTCAATGCTGTAGTCGTAAATCAACCGATTTTATGTTTGTTTAAGGCGTCCTCGTTGCCCCTCGCTGACCACCCCTTTGACGGGGATGTGGGTACGATATGTGGTGACTGCTGTTGCAACTTTCTTCTGATGGTGGGCACTATGTGTATGTGTGCCGTGTGGGTGTCGGTGTGCGTAGCTGGTGTATGTGCGCGGCGAGAAAAGTGCAAGTCGCGTGTTCGCTTCTCTCTGTGTGTTATGGAAGGGAAGGAATGTACATCTTTCATTTGTTTTTCTCCAACCGTGTCCGAGTCATCTTCCGCATCCGACGATTTTCGTTTCGGTGGTTGGCGCTAGTCCGGAATAATTCTGGCGGAAGCCCAGGCCCGTGGGATTTATTTCGCGTTATAGTGTAGGCTAATTCGGTAATCGTATCCGGATCGGTCCTCGGGACGCGGGGAGGGTTCACTGGAACCAAACTCGCTCTCTCTCTCTTCGAACGGTCGGTACGAGGTGGTGCGGCGGATCATGTACCAGTTGTCCGACTGGCGGTGCATCGGTTATCACGTTTCGTGTCGTGAAGTGAATTAAGACACCTCTCAGGCTGAGGTGAGTGCGACAGTGCAGACCCAGTAATTGGGGATTAGCGGGCGCGTAAAAAATTTCGCTGAACAGAGCGAGCAACAACCATGTTGGTCCCAGCGGAGATGATTGCGGTCCAGTCGAAAACCATTTTCCAAATCAATAAATACTACGCCGAGAAGGTCCAGCTGCGGATGGGCAACATTTCCCGGGTGATTCGGGAGATTTGCAAGATCGTTCAGGAGGTGCTACGGGAGGTGGAAGTGCAGGAGCCGAGATTTATCTCCAGCCTGGTGGAGTGCAATGGCAGGTGAGTGAGCAGAAGTGCGGGTAGGATCAATTTGTATTTGTGATGCTTTGTAATGCTAGTTCCATAATTTGATGCAAGGAACTTAGTAGGAACATTATTAGTGGTGCTCAAGATACGGAGCATTTGCAATTGCGAAAACCCGTCGGGACTAGCAGGTTCATATCCAATATCCTTATGGAATAGTTTGTTTACAGGTTGGATTATTCTATCGCTGTGTTTAGTATAAATGACATGATTGTGAATGTGACATATTAGTAGTATTAGATCGGGTTGCATGATCTTGATTCATGATAAGATGCTGTACTCAAAAAATAATCGTTAATACAATTAAAAAAAGAACCATCACCATGGTAGAATTAAAAGTTTGCGTTGGTTAGTTTTGGTAGCAAGCGGTTGGCTTACAAAATGAAAATCAGCCGCTACCTACTTTTAAAATATTAAACTTTCAAAATTTATTGTATAATGTACTGTCAAATGAAAAGCGTGGCAGTGTTGAAATTAAAAGCGAAATATTTTTAATTTAAAATCAAGCATTTTGATTTTCAGTAATTTAAATTCGAATTTTATCTCATTAAAAATAGTAGTTAAAGATATGATAAAAAATGTATTCAATTATATGCCGCAGGTATCGGTTGAAGACCTGGAGCGTTTGAGTGTTCTCCGCTGATACACGTTTCGCTGGGGTATAACAACACAGATTTCACGTTTGAATTAAAGATTCAACCTCACCTCAACTCACCTCAGCTCACCTCACCTTACCTCATCTCACCCAATCAAACTTCATCTCAGCTCACCTCACCTAATCAAGCTTCACCTCACCTTACCACAACTCACCTCAATTAACCTTACCACATCTCATCTCACTTTATTTCTTCTCACTTCAACTCACCTGAACTCAATACCTTTTGGAAATGGTTCTGGAATCTTAATCATGAATGTCATGGAATTCTCCTGAAATGTCCCTTCAAATTCTGCTCAACATTTTCTACCATTATTTTTCAGTAAAATCCATGAAATTCTAATCAGGATTTTCTAGTAATATTCCTCCAAGCTCTCTTGGAACTTTTCTCAGAATTCCCTTGAAACTCTTCTTTTGAACTACCGTGGACCCCCGGCAATCTTACCATAGAGGTAACTTTAAGACCGGAAGGTCCCGAAGAAACGTGCTCGACTTTTTGGCTCAGCTCTGGTACTCTCTTCGGTCCCACGCTAATAGATGCACCCCTCGAAACATAGAAAAAAATCCACGAACCCCTCATTTAATCTGTCAAACTTTCATACCGAATCAAAACAAACATAGTGTAGTACTAGAATTTCGACTAGAATGGGGTACGCTCATAGATGTACTTGGGACCAATAGGCTAGTCGAGTGAAGCGAGCGAAGTGAGCGAAGTTTGAATCGTTAGTTTCCACCGGTTAATCTTACCGTTTTTAATCTGAACACACCCCACTAATCTGTACGCCGTGCAAAACAAAAATGGCTCAAACTTCATCTAGCACATGGAAATAGCGTAAAGCGAAATGGAACGATGCGAAACGAAACGCAACAAAACAGAAAATAAGGTTACCAGAAACTCGCTTTTCTGATGGTCGCAGGGTTACTAGAAGTTCAAATTACAAAATGAACCCCGTTAATATGCAAGAAGTGTCGTTCAGATTAACGAGGGTCCACGGTATCCTTATATCCTCCCCGTCTCATCTAAATCTTAATCCTGACATGTTCGAAATTCTCACGCAATCGAATCTATCTACAAAAAAGCATTGTAATTTAACGCATCTAAATCTATTTCCTCGCATCGCGCTCTATCTTTTTGCATAAAATCTACAAAAAACTTCATCAAGTTTCATTCTATCTACTGACTACCGTATGCGTGATAATGTTTGCACCATTGAGCAATGTCAAAATAAAAAAAAATCTCAAAAATTTCGTTTTCGAGTTTTTAATTTATTCAAAGGGGGGATGTTTCTCAGAGTCTTAAACTATGTTAATCATCGATCGAGTTTTCACTTGCTGCAATTACGACCTCGCCACGCTTCCGGAATGCACGGCAGGTTCTAATAATATAGTCTGGATCCATTTCTCTCCAGGTACGGGTCAATGTTTGTCTGAGGCTTGCTGTACTCGGGTGGCGTTTAGAACAGACCTTGGCCTTCATGACGCGCCATGTTGAGTAATCCAGCGGATTAAGATCGGGGCTGGATGGCGGCCACATATCCTTCGCCCAGAACGGAAGATGTTCCTGCAACCACTTCTGAGTGCGGTTCGAGGTGTGGCACGGAGCCCCATCTTGTTGAAATACAACATTTGGCTTCGGACCGTACTGTTCTTTGATCCACGGAAGAACTTACTTACTTAAAATCCAGATGTAGACCTCCGTGTTGACCTTGTGGCTTTCTGGAATGAACACCGGGTCAATTTTTTTTGCCATCGGAAGCCACCAATTCAAACACCATAACCCTAGCAGGATGCTTGGTCAGATACACGTTCTTGTGCTCGTCGACCACGTCTTTTACCGGAAGAGAACTACCCAAGCAACAATTTTGGTTTTATAACGCTCTTGAAGACCATGGTTTAGGCTTGAACAGTTCTTTAAAACCTCGATAAAACTTACAATGTTACTTGGGTAATATACCGGTCGGTTCTGGAATTTGATACGGGATCGACGGTAAACATGCTCTAGTCGGTGAACAGGATTACCGGATTTTTTCGCTTAAGGAAGTTCAAGATTTTCTTGCATCGTTCGACTCGTAGCTCCCGGATGCGGTTGGTAATCATGTGAGTTTTTTTCCATGCCCTCGACTTCGCCCCGCAATCTTCCTTTACGATCTTCCGTGTCGTAAAGTCACTGATCCCGTGTTGCTTTGCCATTTTCCTTATTGAACGCACTGGATTCACCAGAATCTTCCTTTTGATAGCAGCGATAACCCTCGGAACCCGAGTTGACCTCGGACGACCTGTGGCCGTCTTCGCGGATAGTTGTCCTTTCTTTTCTCGGTCTAAAACCCTTTTGACGGTCCATCGGGACATTCCCACGGCGATTGAAATGTCTTTTTGTAAGTAAGTAAGTCATTTTCTTTTATAGACAGCCTACTACGGTATGAGCTATAGGTTACGTGCATGCAAAGAAAACCAAGGCATTGTATGCACAGGTGAAACGGGAACCTTATTAGTACGATGGTGCACACATTATCACGCATACGATACACGTGCATCTCACGAAAGCAAAACCAAAATTTTCCCTGCATTCTAGATAGAACCATCCCCTTTGGAATTCTAATGGAATACTCTTTAGAGATGTCCCCTGAAATTCCATGAAATTCTCCCAAAAATCTCCATCTTCACCAGAACTCTTTTATAGCTATCATCAGAATTCGATTCTCTTGGATTTCTTCTCTGTATATTTTTTTATTTATCAGGATTTTCTATAGATTCCTTTTAGGATTGCTTATATATTCTCATCAGGAGACTTTCTTATTCTAATTCCAGTCACAATCAAATTTCCAAGAATCAGTATCTATACAAGCCAAGGGGGTGTCACTCTACACACTTATTTTGCGCCAACTTTTTTTCTCAGTGTGCCTCACGTGTGCCACAGCTGTGCCGGCAGTGCCAAGAGTGTCATCAAACTGAATTTTTTGTTTGTATAATGGTATGTTTGGCAACCCGGTTAATTTAACAGCTCACATGTGTTGTTTTGAAAAAACAAAACAACAAGCAGTGGAATCGTATCCCAAATCCTAACTGTCGTGACTCTCGGTTCGTTGCCCCCAAATTCTCTCGGAAAAGGACTATACTGAACCTAATAAGCAACGGCCTCGGCCACCGAATCGAAGCTTCGAGCGAGAGCGTTCTCCGGAGGAGGCACTTCCAATTTCCGACAGGACAATAACTTCTGCTCGATTGGAGTATGATGAGGACTCGGATGAACCACAGGTGACGATGGTCAGTAGACGAAGCGAGTGTGCATCATCAGAGGAAACTGGTCCACATGCTCTTCAGATTCTGATGAACGCTTCCGGGATGAGTTTCTTCCGAAAGCCATCTACTCTGTCAAAGATGCGTCGCCAGCGTTATAGTGGGAGTTTCAACCGGAATCAGACTTCCCTGGTGGAGGTTGAGTTTAATATGTCCACACGGTCAGACAGTCCAACGATCGGACCAATGGAGAGATGTATGATGTCTCTGGCGAAAAGCAGTGCCGGCCATAGAACACCTGTAAAAGCTGGGGCGCCGTTGATGGTAGAAAAGCAAACACCAGTGAAGATTCTACCTCCAAACATGGTCCGAGTGAGGCGAATTCATCGATGTCAGTTACGATGAGGAACGAATCATGGAACTGAATGTCGGTTGGCTGATCAACGAAGTGGTGAAGCGTCACGGAATCAAACATGGTAAACGACCACGGATAAAGCTTGCATGGCCAAATGGTGGCCTTTGTATGGATACCGATCCCCTTACGACCCTCTGTGTGGCTCGGATTCCATTATCAATTCGTACGTCATAGAGTTCGAAAAGCTGCGTTCGGATCAGTTCTACGAGGATTATTGCATCGCGATGTTGAAATGCTTACCGAACTGTTCCAATCACTTTACACTTCACCGGGACTTCCCGTGTCCGAGAGCTAAACATATCCTTCAACCAACTCACCGATGTCGACTTTCAGGAGCTTACCTTCAAGCCCAACAACTGACCAATCAACATCTGACAATTCCACTTAACCTCCTTCAGCTCCATCACGAATCTCCCCGCCCAAATCGATCTACCAACGTCTTCAACGTTCTCTTCACTTCCTCTTTCAGGGTCCGGTCTCCCCACTAACCAACTCACTAATCACATTCCGAATCGGCATTATGACCAGTAGCAGTCCCTTCATGGTCATCTTTTCAATCAGCTTCCGGAACGATGACACCCCCTTTTCAACTTCGATCAAACTGTTCTGAAACACCAAAGCCTTCCGCACCAGATCCTTGAACAGTTCAATCGTCTTGAGTGGAGGTTC